AGCTGTGATTGGTCAGCAGCTAATCAGAGCTGTGATTGGTCAGCAGCTAATCAGAGCTGTGATTGGTCAGCAGCTAATCAGAGCTCTGATTGGTCAGCAGCTAATCAGAGCTGTGATTGGTCAGCAGCTAATTGAGCAGCACTGCGTGTGATGAAGGTGATCACAGGTAACTTCTGTGTAGGACAAATAAAACAAGCCTGCAGCAGACACTCTGTCTCCTCCAATCAGTCCTAACGAGCCCCCACCATTAGGATCAGTCAATAATTAACAGCCTGACTGAGTCTGGCTGGGGGGCGGGGAGCCTTACCTGGGACAGCTTGCTCCACAGGTCGTCTCTGGCTGCGTTGCTGTACATGTGACTCAGCAGATAATCCTGAAACCACAATAAAAATAATTTATTTAACAACTGATGACCTCAGCTCTGACAGGAAACTGGATCTGTTAACTCTACTCTTTGGTTTGTAGAAATGAACACAGTATCTTACCTGCTGCAGATAGCTCAGTGAAGCGCTTCAGTTTGGAGAAAGTTTGACTCTGACTGGACTGACGAGCTAAAGGCTAGTCAGACCTGCCGTCTTTAAAACGAAAAGCTAAACATTTAATCAACCAGTCGACAGATTTTAAATTCAACTCTCTGAATCTAAATGGATCAAATTTTGGAGTCGACTCATTCAAGATGGCCGKCACCGCTAACACTAAAAMGCTAYCAMTTGGGCAAATTTACAGAAACTTAAAGATTTGGTGACGTCGTCCTCAGTTCTTACTAAGAGTTAAATATGTTTCACTAAAACTCGAGCTAGCAGCAGCTAGCTGTAGCACYTKTGGAAAGCCATAAAGATAAAAACTGTAAAGGTTTAAAAAATGTAGCTTAAGAAGTTTTTGATGCTGAACWAACTTTGGTTTTAGCTGTTAGCATTTAGCTAACCAAACTGCTCAGAGTCAAACCATTTCTCCAAGTTTAGTTCATTAAAAAGAGCCATCTATGACAGGTAAGATACTTCAGGGTTCCTACAGTTTAAGACTTTAAGACTTTTTAAGACTTTTTAAAGCCAAGTAAAATTAAACTTAAGACCAATTTCACAATAAACCAAAAAAATGACCAAAAAATTGTGGCAGAAACTCGTGAATCAAATCATTTGTGGTTGAATTGTTCAAATACTGCTAACAGACCAACCGTTTTTATTCACATCTCACTGCTATTTTGTTAAATATAGCAAAAAATAAAAAATAAAACATTTTTAGCAGTTAGTTTTAAACTTTAATTCCTGGAGATCCTCTAATAACCCAGAATTTGGAGTTTTTTGACACACAGCAGGTTCTCAACCCCAGCTTACTGTAGATGAAACCTTAAACAGCAGTTTTTTGTAAGAAATATAAATGGATATTTGGAAAAACAACATTATTAACAMATTAGAAAATGAATTTGTCATTGCTCAGATGAACGGTTGTTCAAATATTTGCAGGTGAAATAACAGGAAGTGATGTCAAAGGGGAACATCTGAATGGGAATATTAAAAAAATTAAATAAATTTTAACAATTAATATTTGACAGGAATTACAGTCATCCTTACAATGTGTTACCATTTTCTGAACATTGATTTAAGAACTTTTAAGGCTAATTAAGGCCTTATTTTTGGTCTTTTAAGACTTTTTAAAGATCTGCAGGAACCCTGTTTTTACAGGTTTCAGTTACTAAAAGATAAAGTTTTCTTAATAAAGTGGGTAACACTTTATAATAACTACACTTTATTTAGCTATAATTAATCATTAATAAATGGTTAACTAACCTAATTACATCTAAAACAGAAGTTAACTCATGAGTTATTAAGCATTAGTAAACAATAAGTGTTTGTTTTAGATGTAATTAGCTTTTATGGGTAAAACATTAATAAATGTGTTAATTCATAGCTTATTAAGTCTGAATCATCCTTAATTAATGATGTTTTCAAGGTTAGTTAACCATTTATTAATGATTAATTATGGCTAATAGGGCTGTGTATTGGCACGAATTTGGCGATACGATATATCCCGATATATTGCGATACTGTAAACAAGGCGATATATTGCGATTTTTGGTCCAAAAATTCTATTAAATAAAAACCTCTTACTGAAAAAAAAAAAGAAAAGCTAATGTTTACTTACAATGCTAATGCTCTCTTACTCTCTGGTGCTCAAGAGGTAGAGGAGCCAAATGTCTGGCTCACTGCTGCCAACTAGTGGTCAGAGGCTGAACTACAACATAAAAATGAACGGCTGGCAGGAAAGTTGACATTTTAAACCTTAATTAAAAATCGATACAGGGCTTTAGAATATCGATACAGTATCTGGAACTGAAATATCGCGATATTTCAGTGTATCGATATTTTCTTACACCCCTAATGGCTAAATAAGGTGTCGTTATTATAAAGTGTTAAATAAATGAAATATAAAACAGAATCATTTCAGATTCAGATGTTGAGTTTGAAGACTTCYGAGTGAATTTATTCATCTTTAGGGTCCACAGTCTGAACACTGAAAAGCTTTTAGTCAGAATCATGTCGGAACAAAAGAGTTTAAATTTTAATCTGAGCGACACGACGTGGCAGGAGCAGGAGGTCCGGGACCAGGAGGAGAACCGGTTTGGTCACCTGCCCMTCTCCAGCCCACAGCTCCATGTTTGTGGATTAAAGTGGGTGAGAGCGTGGGGACATGAGAGGAAGTGGGTAATGAGAGCAGAGAGCAGATACAACACCTACAGACGCAGCGCTCGCAGCTCGATAAGCCGAGCGTCGGCTCTTTACCGGAACGAGATGACACYATAACGGCACGCGAGGTGTCGGAGTCTGACTCCCCCACCTCCGCTGACACCAGCAGAAGCTGGGGGGGCGGAGCCAACACAAACAGCTTTAAGGGCGAAATTAAAAGCCAGCAGCTGTCAACGATAACAAGCCTGTGATAAAAACATGAAATAAAATAAAAACCACGAGGCGGAAGGATTCCAGCAGACAGGGATGTGGTGAAAACTGAGCTGACAGGTTTACAGTGTCGCAGTTACAGTTTACAGCCGGGTAATGAGGCCGTGGCATCAACGCTTCGGCTGCTATTTACACCAACACGGCGCTTTAACGAGGGCTTCGGCTCGTGTCCTGAGAGATCACAGCCGAGCTCCATCTGAGTAAAAGCTCATGTTTCCACAGGCGACGGAGGGAAAACTGTTTTACTGAGCAGCTTTTCTGCAGATTCAAGATGGCCGCCACGGCTAATCAACCTGAGCTGAAGTTTGGTTTGGTTGTAGCTGAAGGCTGCTTTGATATTTACAACTTAATTTAATTTTATTTACAGTTTTATTACAAAAGACGTTAAAAATCTTCAAGAAAAAGATAAGAAA